CCCCCTTTTCCCATCTGTCACTGCTGCAGTTTCGTCTGCTGCTGTGTTGTGCAAAACGCTGCTGTTTTGCTTCTTTTGGCCAAAGATTTGCATCTTTGTTGTTGTTGTAGCCCACAGCTGACTGACTCCTGGATTTGCCCAGTCGGTTGCATCACTAACTGCTCCTGCTACCATAATCTGCTCCTTTCATCATCATCATCATCATCGCCGTCGTCGTAGTCGTCGTCGGCGGCTGTGTATCTGCAGTCGGCAACGTTGCCTGAGTTTGTGTATGTGTGTGTGTGCCTTTGGTTATTAGTTGCTGCTGCTGCATTTCTGTTGCCTGTTGATGTGTGCACTTTTGAGCTGTTGAGCGAGTGCTCAGTGCTCATTTGCTGCACGTCGACTTGCAAGTCTTGTCGTTAGTTAAAGTTGGTTTAGTTTTTCTTTCATTTCCGCGTTTCCGAGATCAGAGTAAGAGAGAACGGGAGGGGAAAGTGGAGAGGAGAGGGGGCCAGGAGGGAGCATCACAGTGGTGCTGCTGCACCTCGACGCACGCTGCCACTTTCTCTTTCGTCCTGCCAAACGAATGAGCGAACGCTTCTCTCTCCTCAAGATATAATTGCCCGTGCTGAGAGGGAACAGACAAAAGTCGGCGCTGGTGAGGCTGCCAGCAGACTTCTTGCAGACGTTACTTTCACCGAGGCAGCCAGTTGTAATCACCAGCCATCGGCGAGAGCCCCGCACACAGTGTCATTATGTACGCCAGGCAAGCCGAACTACGTTTGCTCGTTCGGGTAATAAGACTGGCTCTTTCGGATGAGAGAGAGAGAGAGAGAGAGAGAGAAAGAGAGTGCTGTTTTATTTATAGAAATCACCGTGTAGTGCTGCAAGCGGCTCGCGCGAGCACGGGCGCCTTGGATAGCCATTGGTAAGTGTCTGTGTCTGCATGTGCTCTCTCTTTCCCTCCTGTTGTCTCCACTGGAAGCACTTTCTCTCACTGAGACACTTGTTGTCTCGTCAGTGAGCGGACACTCTTCGTCGATAGTGAGAACGAAAGGGAAAGCGTCCGAAAGCAGGCATCCAGGGCTTCAATTGCCGCCGCTCACGGCTGCAGGCCACTGGCACTGTGAGGACGTACACTAGCACACTGCAGCACAGCTGTACCTTAATTTAACACAGTCGCAGACGAGCACACAGTCGTGTATATACCTGGCAGTGCCTATTTTTTAACTTTCTCCTCTGCCCGAACGACTGAGCAGCTCTAACGTCTGCTGTTGCGAAGAGTGAAAGAGTTCCTCTGTAGTGCAGAAAAAAGGAGAGACTAATTTAACACACACGATCAACTTTCTCTCTCGCTCAGTTTGGATGGCCTCCTTTCACTTTCGGACTTAATTGCACACGATGGAAGGGGCAATCAGCACGCGGCCGGGCTCGGACACTGGCCAGCAATGATGGTGGTGGACAGTGGCCACCACTGAGACCACTACGCGTTCCCGCGGTTATCACTGCTCCCTCCGTAGTCTCTCTCTCTCCATTGATCATAACTGTCGAGGATTGTGTGCACTGCCTGCCTGCACTGCTTTTCCATCCATCTCCTTTCACTCTCTTTTCATCTTCCAATTAGCACCTGAAGTTATGCGCTCAGGTACTTTTAGTCACTGAGATGCATCCTTCGTGATGCCGTGCATTAAAGTCTGCAAACGCTGATTGTGCACTAATTGGCAGCGGCGCTCTATCTTGTGCGCTTTCCCTTTGGACTTCATCTTCTCATTTGATTAAGAAAGCATTGTCTGTTATCGAGGTAAAAAGACTAAAACTAAAACACGAGTTTGCTGTTGGCTTGTGGGCGTTTTCGGCCACTTGTGTTGTCATCTATTTTGAGCGGCGAGTGTGCAGGCTAGTACTTGAACAGGTGGTGACTGCTGTGGTGCGCCAGTCTCTGTCAGGTGCCCCCTTTCACTTGCAAGTGGACAGTTGTTGCGCATTTCTAGGTTAGGCGGGCAGTATTTGTGTGCTGCACGCCTTCGCACTACTGCCATCTTTGCCACCGATTTAGCCCCCGTCTGTTCTCTCCTGCTCTATTGTCAATCAGTTCGGAAAGAATTTTCCCCCGCAATGGTGTCGTCAGGGAGCTGTACTTGTCATTGCTTCAATCACCACATGTGCTAGTCTTTAGTGTTTTAGTCTTGCTCGAATTGATCTGTGTGATCGGCGTTCTTTTAAGTCTAGTAACAGGTACACCTTACTGGTTAGAGTTAGTCTGCAAGCACCTTTGTCTGAGTCTGCTCTAATTTCTCTTCATTCAATTGTCCACTCTTCTTCTTTCCTTTCTGGTACATGCACTCGATCACTTTCCCTCTCGATCGTCTCTCGATTTTGTCCCTTTTGCACTCTTTAGACAATTTTCATTCACTGTTTTCCATTGACTTACTGTCTGCTGTGGTAGAATGATTGTGTACGCCCGCTTCAACGCGGGTTTGTTTATGATTCAAATTAAAGTTGACAGTCGACCATTGATCGACACCAGAGGAGATCCAGAACGCACAGGTGGCGCACGCACTGCCGAGTGATTGCAAAGTACAAAGTCTTAGCTGCATTGTATTAAAGATACATTATCAGATCAAGCCACAGACATTTACCCGTGCAGTAAGATTACTATGCAAAGTACAATTGCCAATGGCCATTTAGGGAGCAGTCCTAGTGAACTGAAACTTTAACATCTATTTGGTCATTTGTGCCACTTGAGGACAATTTCAAACTACAAAAACTAAATGGATAGGCATGAACATGCACAATTAATGCACTCACCATTGAAGCACAGTCTATTTTGTATTCGAATCACACATTTATAGATTTGATTGGCTTTAGATTGAACTCGACTTGCCGGCAATGTGGGGAAATTGATTTCTAATCGTGTCGAATTGTCTTATAAGTCTCTTCTCATTTCCACCTTGATTAATAATTCTTCTTTTTTATTGTTACAGGAGTCTACTTTCATTTGTGATACTGCTTTCCTCCTCTTCTTCACCACTCTTCGTTCTGGCGCATCTTTCCTTGCCTCTCCTCTTGAATAGCTCTACCTTACACAACAGTTTAGTTTTAGCTGTAAANTTTCTTCTTTTTTATTGTTACAGGAGTCTACTTTCATTTGTGATACTGCCTTCCTCCTCTTCTTCACCACTCTTCGTTCTGGCGCATCTTTCCTTGTCTCTCTTCTTGAATAGCTCTACCTTACACAACAGTTTTGTTTTAGCTGTAAAATTGTTATCAATGACCCGCCACTATGTCTACGCTGAACTATTCTGATGATAATTTCGCCGTCTCATCTCTTCTGCTGAGCATCACTTTAAATTTTAAACTTACCGTCAACCAGACAAAGAAAAAGAAAAAGAAACTGCTGCACAACAAATAACAAGTTTAAGAAACACACAACCCAAACTGAGATCTTCTCTTTGTGATATTTTGTTTAGAGAATCTTATTCCCTTTTCATTGCTTCTTTTCGAACCTTTTTGAGAAGAACAAGCATCGTCACAGACTAATACATTACGATGACTACTATTCCATTTTTGACGTCTAACCAAATGACGGGATTCCTTTCGGAACAAAACCACCACCACGTCCTGTGGTCTCACTCGGTAAGCGGATGAAAGCTAAACTGATTTGATTGCGTACTGACATGCTTTTCATTTTCCAGGACTTTGGTGTAACTTCGGTGAGCGATACAGGCCCGCCAGAGCTGCATGAGCTCACGTCTAATGATCTGTCCAAATTTTTGGATGAAGACCTCGAGTCGAACAGCAACGCAAATGCATTTTGTGATCTTGACTCTATTCTCGATGATCTCGATGAGGTGGCAGACACACACCTTCTGTTGACCAATCCGGAGAAGCTGCTAAACAATGGCAATGGCCTCGGTGGTGACGGTCTTCAGTTGGTGGCCATGTCACCGAACGGCCTCACTACTGGTCTCTCCGCAAACAGTCCCTCGTCGATGTGTCCCTCGCTGATGGCGCCCAACTCCAGCTCGACCAGTTCGAGTCCTTCAAACGGAAACGGCACCTTGATATCGTCCACCATTGACTTTGGTTGTGATATCACCACCGGCCCTAATGGCCTGTTCGGCAGTGGACCGGTGAGCAATGGCATCTCCAACTCTACACGCACAAGTCCGACCAGTTTCGACGATCTGCCGGGCATCACAACCATTGGCTCCAGTGGTGATTCCTCTAATGACTGCGTCTCACCGACTCCCTCTACCACCCCAAGCACCATCATTCACCACAACCATATGAACATTTCCTCCAACCAACAGCAGCAACAACAACAGCAGCAACAGCAGCACATTTCAATTCTTGCCGGCAATGGGGGAAGCAACCAGAAAAACTCCCTTCTCCGAGGACAGCCGCAACCTCAGATAGTACTGCATCACACAAACTCGGGTAGCTCCACCAATGGCTTTGTGCCGATGCATGCTAATAATGGTGGGCCCAACTCGCCGTCCATTGGAATGCGTACCAATCCTAACTTGCCTCATCCACCACCACCGCAATCAGCGCCGCAGCAACAGCAACAGCAGCAACAACAACATCGTCAGCTGCAATCTCGTGGTAACGCTTCTCAGTCCTCACGACAGTCTGCAGCCAGCACCTCACCGAACGGTAGTTTGCAATCAAAGAGCTCTCAGTTGCATGCTCTTCGCGCCCAAACTGCGACTCCCACTCCGCAACCTGACTCTACCACACCGACGCCCTCCTCGTGCACCTCCCAGAAGCCGCAATCGGGCTCCATTCTGCAGAACGCCCTTCTTGCTGGTCACCCTAATCAACAACAGCGAGCGCAGCAGACTCAGCAGCAGCAGCAGCAGTTGCCAGGCAGTGACCAGTCTTTGCTAAGTCAGCCTCAGGCGTCTCGTCAGGGGCCCGGCAACGGCGGCACTGGAAACAACGGCAAACAAGTGCAGTCTCAGCAATCGCACCATCTCCACCACCGGAGTCTCTTCAACGGCAACCAGCACAACTTTGTCAACAGCAAGAGCGACTCATCCTTATCAGGTAGGAAAACTTGTCTTCTTTGCCTTTAGTCAAAGTGCAGTAGCACTGTGTGAGGCACCGCGCCATAGCAAACGGTCACTCCAGCGCTAGCGTCAGGAAATGGCAGATCAGCAGGAGTTTTTTTCGCGCCTCTAAGCGACTTATTGACAGGTCATCTTGCTTGCTTAGACTTGCTTGCTCTACTTTTTTTCTCCTCTTCTCTATCCAAATGAAAAGAAATCAGTGCTGGTGCTTCAACTCCAGTGTGTCCGTTGTCTGTTGTTGCTGCTAATTTTCGAGCTGTCTCTAATTGGATCAGCTGAGGCACCATCACCACTGTCACCGCTTTGCCTTGCTCGTGTTCACTTGTTGTTTACACACTTACCGGTACACGCGCCGCCGACGCCGACGCCGAGACCATTTACTGCTCGTCGCTCACATCGGCGGCGCCACGCCAGCACCAGTTGTCCATTGTGTGTCCTCCCCAGTGACAATCGACGTTGCCAATCTGTCAATCACTTTCGCTCTCCTTTGCGTCGTTGCACTTTTCCCTTTTGGCTGTCGTTCTCATTAGGCACAGACAACTCCTGGAGAAAGTTGTCATTCACTTGTTTGCTTTGCCAACCGCTGTCTTCCCTCTCAAGTGTCTCTCACTCACTCTCACTCACCTTTCCACTGTCCTCTCACCGCTTTCTTATCTATTTTCGCACATTTTCACTTTTCGCTATTTTTAGAGTGACTTGCACTGGTGAGTTGCTTCGGTGGGCAATATTCCTCCACGACGATTACCGTCCATCTGCTGCGGCAACTCGCCACCATCATCAGCAGTACTGTGCAGCACAATTTACTTTCTATTTCTATTGTCATGCAGCTTCGTACTGGCCAGCGCTGCGCCATACAGATGCTGGTCTCTACCGCGAGATCACTGTGCTAAGTATAGAGCTTCAACAGTGGTTGTCTTCTCCGTCAGCCTCAGTCTGTTCCATTGTTGTCCGCTGGCTGGCGCGGATGTTACTCGAGGTAATCACTCGGTAATGGGATCCATTGTTACAGCCACAAAGCATTCATTCAGCAAAGGCAACGGGAAACACAAATGGCGCCCCTTAGCAACAGGCTTCGTTTCTCTTCGGAAAGTGCCTCGAATCGAANGTTACTCGAGGTAATCACTCGGTAATGGGATCCATTGTTACAGCCACAAAGCATTCATTCAGCAAAGGCAACGGGAAACACAAATGGCGCCCCTTAGCAACAGGCTTCGTTTCTCTTCGGAAAGTGCCTCGAATCGAAGCTCTGATCGCCATCTGACGTCCGAAACCAAAACAGTTGCAGAGTTTTTCCTTTTTTGATAGAAGAGAAATTCTCTCTTCGAGCCTTTGAATAAAGTTGCAGTTGATTGACAGCTTTGAGCTGCGCATGGCGCCCTGGCGCCCAATAACTCGTTCCCGCCACTTTACTTGCTTACAGCCGTCTTTCTTGTTGTTGTTTGTATCACTCTCAGTAGGTGGCGTCATTGTGCTGAAAAAAA